GGGGGGGGGGGTCCCCTTGCACCAACACGAAGGGGGTGGGGGGGTGTGAGCGCCTCCCCCTCAGCCCGGGGGTCGCACACCTGGGCACACCTGGGCACACCTGGGCCACACCCTGACGTGCCCCTCCCCCAGGGCCCGCCGAGGTCGCCGAGGGGGGGCCCGGCCGCGGCGCCGGTGAGATCCAGCAAGCAGCGAAAGGTCAGTGAGGGTCAGCAGGACCTCCCCACGGACACCTGGGACCCCCCAGAACCTCCCAGGATCCCCCCAAACCCCACTGTGCACACACCTGGGACCCTCCCAGAACCTCCCAGGACCCCCCAAACCCTACACACACACCTGGGACCCCATAGCGATGTCCCCACCTGCAAGACCCCCGTGGTGAAGTCTCTGGTGCAACGTCCCCATCACCACGTCCCCATCACCGCGTCCCCACCAGCGGCGATGTCCCAATCCCGATGTCCCCACACGAGGTCCTTGGGGCAGTGGCCTCCTCCCAGCGCGCCTGGTGCAATGTCCCCGCTGGCAGGTCCCCCACACGAGGTCCCCGCTGGTGGGTTCCCATCACAACGTCCCCACCACGACGTCCCCACGTGAGATCTGGTGTAAGACCCCACAGCGATGTCCCCGTGGCAATGGGGGAAAGGTCCCCATGGCAGTGTCCTCATGGCAAAGTCCCCATTGAGGTCCTTGTTGTGATGTCCCCATGGCAATGTCCTCATGGCAAAGTCCTCTTCATCCTGTCCTCGGTGACAACGCCCCCATCTCAACCTCCCTGTACCAGTGTCCCCATGACTGTGTCCTCGTTGGAAAGTCCTCATTGCCACGTCCCTGGTGACAATGTCCCCATCACAACATCCCTGTTCCAATGTCCCAAAGGACCCATCACAAGGTCCTTCTCGCCATGTCCCCATTGCAAGGTCCCCATTGGGGACCCCATGGGGACTTTCTGCCATGTCCCCATGACAAGGTCCTTGTTGGAAAGTCCCCTTTGCCACGTCCCGAGTGACAACATGCTCATCACAACGTCCCTGCACCAGTGTCCCCATCACAAGATCCTTTCTGCCATGTCCCCATGATAAAGTCCTCATTGGGAAGTCCCCATTGCCATGTCCCTGGCTCATGGTCCCCATCTCAACGTTCCCATCTCAACGTTCCCATCTCAACATCCCCATAACGATGTCCCCATGACAGTGTCCTCGTTGGAAAGTCCCCTTTGCCATGTCCCCGGTGACAATGTCCCCATCACAACGTCCCCGTTCCAATGTCCCAAAGGACCCATCACAAGGTCCTCATTGCAAGATCCCCATGACAAAGTCCTTGTCGGAAAGTCCCCTTTGCCACATCCCTGGTTCATGGTCCCCATCTCAACGTCCCCATCTCAACATTCCCATGACATGTCCTTGTTCCAATGTCCCCATCACAAGATCCTTTCTGCCATGTCCCCATGGCAATGTCCTCATTGGAAAGTCCCCTTTGCCATGTCCCTGGCTCATGATCCCCATCTCAACGTCCCCATCTCAACGGCCCCATCTCAACATCCCCATCTCAACGTCCCCATCTCAACGTCCCCACGCCATCTCCTTGTTACACCGTCCCCATCCCCCGGTTCCAGGCCCCTCTCCCAACCTCCCCTCCCACCACCCCCCGTACAAAACCCCCCCCGTGCCCGTCCCCACACCGCGTCCCTCCTGTCCGCACCGCCAGGCCGCGCCGAGTACGTGGCCACCTTCCGGGGCAGCGAGTTCTTCTGCTACGACGTGTCGCGCTCGCCGGTGCAGAGCAGCGCGGACGAGCTGGCGCTGGCGTTCCGCACGCGGCAGCGCCACGGGCTCCTGCTGCACACCGGCCGCGCCGCCGACTTCCTCAACCTGTCGCTCAAGGCCGGCGCCGTGTGGCTCGTCATCAACCTGGGTGCCGGCGCCTTCGAGGCGCTGGTGGAGCCCGTCAATGGCAAATTCCACGATGGCGGCTGGCACCACGTGCGCGTCACGCGCAACCTGCGGCAGGTACGGCGGGGAGGGGAGGGGAGGGGGGAGGAGGAGGGCTGGTGGGGTGATGGAGTCAGGTGACCGCTCAGCAGGTCACCGCGGGCAGATTCCCAGCTGGAAGCACTGGGAGAGATGGATTGATCAGTTCCCCAACTGGGAGCACTGGTTAGCTTGGGTAGCGTCCCAGCTGGGAGCACTGGGAGCACCGGGAGCGATGGTTTATCAGTTCCCCAACTGGGAGCACTGGGAGTACTGGGAGCGATGGTTGGTTTGATCAGCTCCTCAACTGGGAACACTGGGAGATTCGGGCAGCTCCCCAGCTGGGAGCACTGGGAGTGTTGGATTGATCAGTTCCCCAACTGGGAGCACTGGGAGCACTGGTTTGATCAGTTCCCCAACTGGGAACACTGGTTGTGTTGCTCAGCTCTCCAACTGGGAGCCTCGGGCCAACGGGTTGTCCCAGTTCCCAAACTGGGAGCACTGGGAGCGATGGGTGTCTTCATCAATCACCCAACTGGGAGCACCAGTACCTTGATCAGCTCCCTCAACTGGGAGCACTGGGAGTGACCATCGCCCTGACTGGCTCTCCAGCTGGGAGCACTGGGAGCAGTGGGCATCTCAATCAACTGCCCAGCTGGGAGCACTGGGAGGACTGGGAGGCCTGGGCACCTCGATCCAGTCCCCAACTGGGAGCACTGGTTGTCCTGGCCAACCACCCGACCGGGAATCCCAGTTACCTTGCTCAGCTCCCCCAACTGGGAGCACTGGGAGCGATGGGTGTCCTCATCAATCAGCAAACTGGGAGCACCAGTACCTTGATCAGCTCCCCCAACTGGGAGCACTGGGTGCTTGGTTAAACTGGGGAACTGGGCGTACTGGGAGCCACTGGTTCTTCAATCTGCTCCCCAACTGGGAGCACTGGTTGTGCTGGTCAACCGCCCAACTGGGGGTGATGGACAAGTTGGCCAGCCACCCAACTGGGAGCACTGGGAGCACTGGGAGCACTGGGCACCTCAATCCAGTCCCCAGCTGGGAGCACTGGGTGCACTGGGAGCACTGGGAGCACTGGGTGCCTCGATCCAGTCCCCAGCTGGGAGCACTGGGTGCACTGGGAGCACTGGGAGCACTGGGTGCCTCGATCCAGTCCCCAGCTGGGAGCACTGGGTGTCTTGGTCAACCACCCAACTGGGAGCACTGGGAGCACTGGGAGCACTGGACATGCTGTTTAACCACCCCACCGGCAGCACCGACCGCAGGATCTTTCTCTCCCCAACTGGGAGCACTGGTTCCATGGACCCTCCCAAACTGGGAGCACTGGACACACCATGGGGGGGGCGGGGTCTCTGCCCAGCCCCCACGGAGGGTGACAGGTGGAGTTCGGGGG